ACCCACCGTCTCTCCGTGGAGACGCCATGGATGTGTATTGTCTGCTGCTGTGTGTGAGTGTGTGTGTGTGTGTGTGTGTGTGTGTGTGTGCGCGCGTACGTGCGTGCACGTGTGTATACGTGCACGTGCGCTAACAGTCGGTCACCGAGGTTGGTCGGCTTGAAAAGTAGCTCTTGGGTCAAAAAGGGTTGGTCATTTTAATTATGGTTTGCAGTCTGGGATTATTTATATATTGGACCAATTATCAGCTCTAATATCTATGTGTTCACGAATGCTACTTGTTTTTTATACAAATATTAATCAATGGCAGTGATTGCCCACTATAAAGTCCAAACTTTTAACATAATACCCCACACTATATCGTTAAAGATTCTCATTACGACTAAATTTTACCAGCTATGGCAATAAATTTTGCATTTTTTTGTTGAAAATGAAAAAAGCATGAATAAATCAATCACGATTCAAAAAAGTAACTTGAAAGTAATGAGTAACTTTTTAATCTACCTAGATGGTACTTTTGTAAAGAAACTCATTACTCTCAAATTCAATGAAACTAGTAATAGGAAATGTATTACATTTTGTAAATATTCATCCGACATAATTTATTACAAATTATTTTTGCTGAATCCCAAGTTTAGGTTTGCGGATGCCCCCGCCCCCTTTTGAAAACCACTGGCGTAAAATAATTTCCAAACAGTGTGACCTTCTAATTCAACGTGTCTTCAAATTAAAATTCAAGCATGAACTGGACCTTGCTACCAGGCAAGACTCCTCACTGGCCTTCTTTAATCATGCCTTTTCTGTCAATGACTTTCCTCTGGTTTTAGGAGGGTTGAATTGCCATTGGTATAAAGTTAAAACATTTAGGATGATCTAACCCACAGTGATGAAATTAAAACAAAAAAAAAAACAAAAAAAAACCTGAAGTGAATGATAACACATTGATGTAGCAAATGCAACCTCAGAGTGGCCCAAAACAAAAGTGAAAATTCCGTGTGAATTCTGAACCCCATTCTTTTGAGGATTACACTTAAAATTCTCCTTTGCTTTGGTAGTCTGCGCTCCTAAACCCTTTCACATGATGGGAAACCAACCGTTTTATTCATGGTCATGGCATTCCTTAGGTGGATGGCGAGTTGTCGGATGTAGACAAAGGCATGCTGGTAAGTGGCCTGCGTGTCCTGGGCGTACATCTCTGTTAGGGTGCGCTGCATGAAGTTGATCATGGGCAGCGCATTGGGGGACGTGAACTTGCAGTTTTGCACATACGAAATGTACATTTGCTGGTGGGGAGGACAAAGTGACATTTATTTCTTGACACTAATCCACGTTGAGATAACATCTCAATGTGTCTTTTTGTTACTCACCTTCAGAATTGGGACAAGATAGTTTTCTTGCTTGTGTCTGCAGATTTTGTTGAGGGCCAAAAAGGCAAGGACCCGACATGTCTCCTCTCCAGTGCTCCATTGCTTTATCAATTGCTGAAGACAAGCAAACGTGACGTGGATGAACAAAAACATTTGAACTATGACACTGCAATAATCGAGCTTCGTGCAATACTGGCGGTGGTGATTTTTTTATTCATTTCCTTTAAGAGATTAACAAAGTATCGTGATGCTACCGTCCATAATCGCATCAATCCTACCTTAACCAGGTGCCGACACTGTTTGGGAAGACAAAGAAAATAAGGGACGAGTTGATTGGCGTGTCGCAGGACAGCGCTGATGACTGTGGCCTCTGTTAGACAGGATAGCAACTGTGGATGGAGAGCATTAATGAAAACAGAACGCAAGTGTTTTTTGTAAAGCTGCAGAGAATATAAGTCACAGAAGACGCACAACTTCGGAATTGATCAGCTGTTTCCCTGTAATCTATATCACACAATAATGGCAGCCAACCAACCTGAATAACGCCACTGAGATACATCTTGATGTCTACTTGGTTCTTCTGCCATTTCGGACTAGTTTGTGGTAGCACCAGCCTACAAGCAACAGCAACAGAAGAAAGTCATTGATTTATTTCCATCAGCCCTGAAATACGCAGAGGTGTAGAATTTGGCAGATTGGAAACTCCCAGACTACCGTTTTGGGTCTGTATCTGCCTTTAAATTGAGCATTTGCTGGAAGGCACCGTGGATGTCTCGGATGCAGAAGAGGACCAGGGAATTAAACACTGCAGACAGAGTTGGGGAAAAATTACAACATTACTGTTACACCAATAAAAGCACACCAAAGGCAGTTGGAAGATAACATTGAGCTACCACCTACTGGCTGTTCAGCATTCACAAACTCACATGTTCACAGATTATTTTGGAACCAAGCCTTCGTTAACTGATTAACTTGCCGAGATGTTCAAGCATTAATTTGGCGCCACCTGCTGGAACCGTGGTATTTGGTTTCATTCTTTGATGGCTGGTCCTCCACGTTATCCCCAATTAGGTGGCTGACACTGACAGATACAAATGGCTTGCTACTTGAAGTCACCATGAAGGTGGAGTGGGAGGGGTGGCGTGAGAATATGTGCTCATGTAGTTTGCTTTGCTTAAAAATGTTAGCAAAATGTCAATGACTCTGCAGTCTTGCCGTTTTGACAAAAACACAGGGGCAGCACAGCAGCATACGGATATTAGCCATGAATAAAGACTACGAGTCCACATTGAACTCGTTTACTGACACGGATGAATTTGCCTTAGCGATACAAGTCACGGCATTTGATGACATTTTTGCAAAGTCTTGAGTGGTCTTCCAAAGAATGTATTCATAATCATTTAGCATGGAGTTCGACCCCGAGCTAGATTAGTCCTTAAACCCGGAGTTACAATGCTAATAATATTACAATATCACCACATAAAATGAGTGGTTCTTACCTGAACTCTCATCCACCTTGTACTTGCATTGGGTAGCTCCTTCACCCTTAGTCGTAGCAACGGCGGCCTTGAAGGCTTGGGTGATTTCTCTGACGAGGCGGGAGGAAGGTCCCTTTTTTAGGGAAGCTTTCCAATCGCGGATCATTTTTTCAGTGATTTTAATGGCCTCGTCTGTCTTCTTGGATTTCTTAGAAGCCTTTTGAGCACCCTCCTCCTCGACCTCCTCTTCATCGCTGGCCTCCTAGATATAAAGGATGATTTTGTCGTTGGGGAATCATTTATGAACTGACAATAAATTTTAAACACTGGCGTCAGTCCCACCTCCAATGTAGATGGCAGTCTGTGGTAATTGTCCTCATCCTCATCCTCAGAGCTATCCTTGTCATCAAAATTCAAGAGGTTCTTGTCATTTTCCTGCAGAAACTTGTAAAACTCTGGATCTTTATTTTTTAATCTAGACAACTGGTCCTTGTGCTGGGACGCTTTACCCATCTTCACTTCATCCCTAAAGAGGGGAAAATGCATTGTTTTAGGTCAGCGTTTGGATTCATACATTTGAATCAACAAGTATGGTCATTACTTATTATCTTTCCTCTTGTCCTTTTTCTTCTGTCCATTTTGCTTGGGGGATTTGTCTTTCGTCTCCTCTTCATCATCTGAATCCAATCCATACCGCAAGAACTCATCGAAACTGAGGTCCTCTAGTTTTCTACGACAAACATAACATCTCTATAAATTACCTCGGTATACGGAGGAACAATAGTTTCAAGTATCGTCATCAAAAAGAAGCAGGGTCAGTACATTTCATATGCAGTATAGATAACACGTCCGACTGATTGTTGATAGCAACCGCTAGCAAGACTCCTTCAAGCTAGCACATCAGCCATGTTAAAGTAACTCAATTTCACTGTCCAACAATGCCAAAACATAACATCCAATATTAATGCCAAAACATAACATCCAGTATTATCCTAAGAATGGCAAAGAAATGTATGACAAACTTTTACAAATAAATATACATCTGAAAAATAGCACGTACCGTTTCCCTGCCATGCTGTTTTCAACATGTGACGCCGAACTTCCTTTACCCACAATGCAACGGGTGCTGTTGATTTTATGTTTCATGGACAACTACTGATGCTTTCTCATAGATTTTTGTTTAAGATCTTAAAAAAAAATGAGCGCGTGATTCCCTCAGATAAGTACAGTTGTTGAAAGACCATAGATGCTACATTTATCAGGAGTGAAATAAGTTTACAATTGTGTAGTTAGTGTATTCTAAAATAAAAAATAAAACGTTCGGCGCGCACGAGAATCTTAAATTTTCGAGTTGTGTTGTGACGCTACATATGAGCTTTAAATCGAATGATAGCTACATCCACGGGACAAGCATCGAAACAGGTGTATTCTTTTGTTTACTTGTCATTTTCTTTACACCTTATTGCACAAAGCTGGGAAAGTGCACGAACAAAAACGCTTCCCCACTGTCACGCCAAAAGCGGCTGCTGGTGAGTAGACGCATCGCATGAATAAGAGACAGAATAACCACCAACAGTGGTGGGATTTATTTAACTTTCACTGGCAAAAATCATAGTTGATGACAACCCCCCCAAAACACAAACAAACCAAATTAGCACTTGACCAATCATGACTCCTGAAAAGAAGCCCGGGCCTTTCGCGCAAGCGCAGTCGTATCATTCAAATTTACTTCCGCACTCGGAGTCGGAGGCGGACTTCTTAAGGTTGTATATGTTAAGTGCAAATAGTATTCAAGCATCAGAATTCAAGTTTAACATACGTGGTGGACTTTTAAAAACATGTAGTATGTATTTTATGCAAAAAAAATCTGCCCTCGAGTATAATCTTACCCTAATCGTCCACAAAAATCTTAGTTCTTCACTTTGAATCGTATCGCGCCTTTAGGTCAACTCACTTCTTCCACCTTAACAGACCCAAGGTAGCGTACATACATTTTTTTTTTTTGTGCATTGACGTCAATCGTATACAAGACACAAAACAGGCATTTTTTCTTGAATATTTCCCATGCTTAAGACGAATATGGACAGATAGCTTCGCTGCTGCCGATTTCCAAACCATCTTGACTGCGACAGCTACAGGCTCATCTTCCATCATTTCGGGAGGAACAAGAATTGCAAACATAACCGCAACAAAGCTACCGGTAAAGAGACAATATCTCTGTGTTTGCTAATGTTGTCTATGGATAATGACGGGCCAGGTTGGAAAAATATGCATTCACAGAATTATACTTGCGATGTTACCCAATGCTGTACTATGTTTACGTCGCCAACATTAGTGTAGGCTCGCGGAGCTTTGTGGATGAATGCTTAAGTATGGGAGACAAACTCCGTGGACATTAAATACTGTCCCCACCAGCAGAGCATGATTATGATCATTATTTTGTGTGTGTGTGTGTGTGTGTGTCTGTGTGGTGGCGGTGGTGTGGGTTGCTGAGGTTGTGCGCCACGTTTCATGCCTAAAAATTCACGTCATGCTATATGGCACTCAACGGTAGTGGTATAAGACACTGAGGGTGTCATATTCGGTGTGTGTGTGTGTGTGTGTGTGTGTGTGTGTGTGTGTGTGTGTGTGTGTGTGAGAGAGGTGGTGGTGGTGGTGGTGGTGGGGGGGGTTATGGTGTGTTTTACAGAAGGAACAAAATCTACTTTTTCACAATGATTATGTGATGTTTATTTTAGTTTTCAATTCACCCAAAATCTCCCACCCACTAACAAACACCCATTGGGTACACCTCAAATAATCCCATGAGATCCCATGCAAGCAGTGTACCTGTATAAGAAAATCTGCCACGTTTGATTGACACCATGAAAGAGCCATTATCAGTTTTATAGTTTGCAGTGGTGCAGAACTGCACAATATCATACTCAGAGGTGCTTCTAATTTGGCAACCTTATTTGGTGACATCATAGGGTTAAAATGAAGCTGCATCAATATCATGTGCAGTTTGACATCATCCACAAACACTCTAATGATGAATCTGACACTTTCAATCAAATTATTCACTTTGCAAAACTACTTTTTTTTTTGCAAAGAGATCTTCGTAGATTTTCAGATACAATGTACCTAATTAAGTGTCGTGTTAGTTCAATAACCTATTGCAGCTCAAATTCTTAGTTATTTGATTGATATGTACTGTATCTGGTTTGAATCGTTTCATGCAATGTGACTATTTACCAAAACAAAAATGTTCAGTTAAAAGTCATTGTTAAGCTACACCCTTCTCATATCCAATTATCATTGAAGTAAAAATGTACATACTGTAAACTGCATTATAGACCTGATGTTTTGCTGCTTTGGGGTTTAATCGGTGTTGACACCAAGTGCCCTGCCAGCCTGCAATTAATGATTGGACTTCTTGGATCTCTGTTGTGCTGAGAGCAGTCCTGTCACAGCTGTCACCATGAGAAATACAGCGGTAGCACAAAGAACCGTGATTGCTCTGGACACCTGTCATAACACCTGCTGATGAACTAAGCTCTTTCAGGTGGAAGACTGATGACAAAGGATATTTTATCCTGTAGTTTTATAGGTAATGACAATCACTCTTTCAGTTGGCCAGAGTGCGGCACAGGCCCGAGCCGGCAACCGCCACACCCGGCACCATGATGGAGGGAGGCATGCAGCTGCTGAACCGCGACGGCCACAGCATCTCGCACAACTCCAAGCGCCACTACCACGACTCCTTCGTGTCCATGAACAGGATGCGACAGCGTGGGCTGCTGTGCGATATTGTGCTACACGTCTCCAACAAAGAGATCAAGGCGCACAAAGTGGTGCTGGCTTCTTGCAGCCCTTACTTCCACGCCATGTTTACTAGTAAGTTCAGCACGGTGCACATCATCCCCTAAAAGCGGCCTGCAACTCTGTTTCTTTGTGCTGTCAGTCTCCTTTAATTTGCCTCGGGATAGTTTCAGATTTGGAGTTTAATATCAAAACAGCATGAGTGCAGTAAACACCACCTAATGCATTTTAAGCATCATTGTTTCCCTGCCTCCTCTTCCTGTCTGGGGCACAGGTGGTCGGTGTCGGTGCGTGTCTCACATTTCCTCTCCATGCAAGACCATTGTCCTTGTAAACTGCCTCCAGACTTCCAGACACCAAGCCTCATCTAGTCTTACCCAGTCACTAATGAGCCCATTTTCATAGTCTGTTTTGCTTTTTGCCTTATCAATGTCAGTGCTACTGTTGTTTGAAAAGTATAGATGGGCCTTGCGCCACCTGACAGCCAGGGTTTTCTTTTTTTTTTTTCACTTTTCATTTTAATATTCATTTCATTTTTTTAGATTTAGTTCATTTAGTTTTGAGCACAATAGCCTTTTTTTTTTTTTTTTAAGAAAATGCTTTGTTTTAGTTTAGTATGTATTAGCTTCGGTATTACCGGTAGTTTGAATTTTTTTTGTATTTATCGACTGTACGTTTTGTGTTATAACGTAAACTACAATTCCCGAACAACCGTTCGACCTTCCTTTTTCTGTACAGCTATACAGTAATTCAGAAATAAATGCATTTAAAATGAAACTCGAAAGTTCACGTGTGAAATGAATCGATGAAGATGAAAGTGAAGATAATTTTCCCTGTAAGTCTAATTAGATTTAGTTAGTTGTAGTTAGTTTAAAAAAATGTAAATTGTGCTTTCATTTAGTTATCATTTAACAATATATATATATTTTATTTTGTCAATTTTTGTTTTCATAATTTTGATTATAATTTAGAAATTTTGATAATAACAATAATAATAATAATAATAAATACATGAATGAGTCATTAATTTGGGGCAGATTGCTCCTCAAATGAAAAAAATAGATTCAAGCAGCTGAGCACTGTTATTGTGTCTCTGAGCAAACCTCCAAATTGACGATAGTCAACTTTTTGAACTGTCCTACCATTGTGAAATTGGTCCCCTCTCTGCTTATGTGTTATTTTCTGCTAGTTGTTTGTGTGGTGCAATGCATTTAATGCAAAAATATACAGCAGTGGTAACATCATTTTCCTATTGGGTTAAAATTTTGGTTGTATATTTGTTACTGTATTCTAAAAATGGCACCAAATGAGCTTCAGTCCATACACGAAAGTATGATCTGAATCAACAGATCTGGCCAGCACTGACTGGGTTAGAACTGCTTGCTCACGGCAAAAATGTTCTGGGTGAGCATGTGGCTCCCTAAATGTTGCTTATCCCCTGCCTCTCACCATCTAAAGCTAGCTTGCGCCAGCTTTCCTGTGACCTGTATTGAATAAGTGGTCCAGAAAATGGATGGATGCTAACTATGATTCTCTTATGTAGATGAGATGTCAGAGAGTCGTCAGACCCACGTGACGCTACATGATATCGACCCCCAAGCGTTGGAGCAGCTCATTCAGTACGCCTACACAGCGGAGATCGTGGTCGGGGAGGGTAACGTTCAGGTAACCTACAGATTAGGTCACCAATCAATCAATCTTCAATATGCATTGAATACCCCGTGGCTACTTCCACCTAAAATCCTTCCTTAGACGTTGCTTCCAGCGGCTAGCCTGCTGCAACTCAACGGGGTGCGAGACGCCTGCTGCAAGTTTCTCCTCAGCCAGCTGGACCCCTCGAACTGCCTGGGCATCCGAGGCTTTGCTGACACACACTCCTGCAGCGACCTTCTCAAGTCGGCGCACAAGTATGTCCTGCAACACTTTGTGGAGGTGTCCAAGACAGAGGAGTTCATGCTGCTGCCGTTGAAACAGGTGGGTGTAGGTTTAGTTGCGCATCCAAATAAGTTGCTCCAGCTTGTTCAGCAACTGCTCACTGCTGAATGGTTTCCATCTCTAAAAGTCATCATTTCCAGTCTGGACTTTCTATTGAGCCGACAGAACGATTGCTAAGGCATCAGTTTTTCTTCCTCAATGTATGAACTCTTAAATGTCATCCTAATGTGTATGTGCAAAGTTCAGTCTGGGGCCTGAGTCAAGGTGGAGGGAATGACAGTTCCAAATGGCAGTTATTGTGAGCACAAAACCTTCAAGCATCTGCTTGAAAATAAAAACATGTCAGGAAAAGCTTACTCGAACAGCTGGACATTAATTGGGGTTAATCTGAGCCATTTTAAATGGTGGCAGATGTGTGCTGACTTCCATTTACAATGAGTTTGAATATGATTGCGTAATTCTGAACAGAGCCACATCACCAGTTATAAGAGGGTGTGCACACTTGTGCAACCACATTGT